CTCATCTGGATGAGCCCCCCCCCTCCCAGCCCCTTCGTGCCTCCTCGCTGGCGACAACCGAAACCCTAGACATGGGGTTCTTCGGCAGTGGCTCCGACAAGGGCAAGGGCAGCGCCTCCTCTTCCCGTGCTCCTCCTCCGCTGCCGGCGCCGGCGCCTGCGCGCTCCAGTCGGCAGCGTCTACACATCCCAGTGCACCAGGTGCGGTGGCACTGGGAGTTCAGGCACCCGTTGCCGTACCCGCCGTGACGCTGCCGCACCACTGGCACCTCGATCCGCAGCGGATCCCGGTGCCGGCGGATCCACGGACACAACGGGCGCATGATGAGGAGGTGCGTAGGCGCCAGGCACAGCTCACGCCGGCGCAGCGGCGCATGCCCGAGTACACCGTAGACTCTCCCCATTGGGAGGCCTGGTTTGCCCTCGAACACGAGGAGCAAAGGCGGCTTGGCGTGCAGCACCACCACGTCAACCCCCCGCCTTCCCCCGTCATCAAACCGGAGGAGGAGGAGGCCGAGGCTGCCTACCAGGCGGCGCTGCGGAGAGGCCTTTGCCAACTCCATCGAGGAGGAACGACGGAAGGCCGAAGCTGCCGAAGCGGAGGAGGCCGCCTACTAGGCGGCGATGGCGGAGGCCATGGCCCTCTCTGCGGCCGGGGCCTGCGTGGTGCCGTGTTATAGGGTGGAGACCCTAAGTGGAGATCTTTCACGAATTGGAGGGGGATCCACGAAGAACGCGAAGAACACGAAGAACAAGATGGGAAATCACAAGAGAAACACTCAAGAACAAGCCCAATTACACATCCACTAGACTAGCAACACATGGATCCACAAGATACATGAACAACAAAGGGAAAATAGCACAAGATAAAGTTCATCCCAAATCCCAAAGGGAGATGAGGTCTTGATAATCCTATGATGGGGAACCTTCCCTAGATGGGGTCTTGAATCCACTAGGGATCTTCTCCCAGGAGGTCTAGATCTCCATGGGAGAAGGTAGATAGGAGGAAAGCTCTCAAGATCATATCATGTACTTTGCTAACCCAAATTTCGAGCTAGGAGATGACTATTTATAGACTAGGGGAAGTTTGGGAGTAAAATGGGTCATTGGAACCTAAGTGCATGTAGGCACAGCCGGAGGGGCCCGAGCACCCGGGGTAAAGCTACCGGGCACCCGGGGGTTAGTCGTGCGGGCACCCGGTGGTGAAAGCCCGGGCACCCGGGGTGGACAGAGGGGCCGCGCCCTTTGGGGTCGCCGGACCGGGCACCCGGGGTGGTCAGAGGCCTCCGGTGCTTCGCGTCTTGGGGTCCCTCTTACTCCTCCTTCTCCCTAATTGGATGGTGTAGATGTTCTCTTGCGCTTGAACTCCTCGTCGTCGACAAAGCTCCAGTAATATCTATGCATGTACACGAGAGGGATGTCAAGTAGTATACCATCCTCGAAGGGGTCAAGTGAACACGTGTAAAGGAATGATTAACCTTTATGTATGTGAAGTAGATGTCGCATGTATCACTTGCCGAACGGACTCTTGACATGGTGATGTCCGTAGGATGCTCCGCATCATCCCCTCCCCCTTGGGAAAGATCCGACCTCGGATCGAAAACCAAATCAGCATGGGAAAGAGATGTCATCGCCTTGTAGAAGTGAACGTCCACCAAGTACTCATAGTCTTGAAGCTCAAAGTGGGCACTCTCCAATGTCGCACCGGCTCGTGATTCATTCAAAAGGAGCAAGAACAACAAACACTTGGAAAAACAAATGTGGTAGCGTTAGTGCAAAACCAAGCATTCAAGTGGTGATTCACCGAACAAGTGTTGTCATCATGCATATCATATGGTGTGACAAAAGATTGTGTCATGTATGTAAGCATATGGATTGAGCACAATCAAGGGCATCATTGAAACAAACATGTAATTGGGAGGTAGAGACGCTAATATGTGTGACAAGAGAATGAGAATCTACCTCATGGTCATAGCAAGCATGCATTAAGCGCTCAACAAATATTCTATGGTATGCATATGAATCTTTCAAAACACCAAATAAAATGAAGTGACTAAACACATGGGGCAAGACAATCCAAGCATAATGTGCATATGGTGTTGTGAAGATATTGTGGCACTCAACATAATGGAAAGAGCAATTGTTCATCATATGTGAGGCAAGTTCTACAAGACGGCTGTTCGACCCGCAATGTTGTATGGCGCCGAGTGTTAGCCGACTAAAAGGCGACATGTTCAACAGTTAGGTGTGGCAGAGATGCGTATGTTGAGATGGATGTGTGGACACATGAGGAAGGACAGAGTCCGGAATGATGATATACGAGATAGAGTTGGGGTAGCACCAATTGAAGAGAAGCTTGTCCAACATCGTTTGAGATGGTTTGGGCATATTCAACGCAGGCCTCCAGAAGCTCCAGTGCATAGCGGACGGCTAAAGCGTGCGGAGAATGTCAAGAGAGGTCGGGGTAGACCAAATTTGACATGGGAGGAGTCCGTTAAGAGAGACCTGAAGGATTGGAGTATCACTAAAGAACTAGCTATGGATAGGGGTGCATGGAAGCTTGCTATCCATGTGCCAGACCCGTGAGTTGGTCGCGAGATCTTATGAGTTTCACCTCTAGCCTACCCCAACTTGTTTGGGACTAAAGGCTTTGTTGTAATGAAGTCAATCATGGAAATATATGCAATTAACCACATGAAACGAGCAAGTATGAATCATCGATGATGCAACATAGGCAAGCATATCAAGCATGTCACGCAAACTAGTAGTGCGAAGATGCAACATACTGGAGGAAATCATGGAAAGCATGTCATGTGGGCAAATAATAGGCATATGTAATGCGCATGACATAGGACAAGCATGAAAGCAAGATATGATCAAAGGATCATCATAGGAATTGGGCACAAAACAAACATGGCAATAACAAGCAATATCTCCACCAAGCATGCAAAAACACATACAAGTCACAGAATCAAGTGTCATGTGAGATGCAAGGCATGGGTCACAAATGCATGGCAAATGTATAGAAATGAGCATATCATGCAAAGTGAACATGGCAATATGGGCATAAAGTGAGAAGTGGTAAATAACCCATAACCATGTGAGGGCCACGTAGAAGAAATGCGTGAAGTCTTTGCGCGAAGGGAGCGGTGGTAAGGACAATCCACGGGATCCCAAATCATCATTGCTCTCTAGAGCTCGTTTCGTCAACTCATGGGATTGCGAGGTTGACAAGGAAGCATGTATACCTACACAACAAGTAGACAAACGAAACAAAGTGTGTGCGTGGTAAATATACACATCATCCATCGTGATGTGCATGTGCTGGTGAGAGTTAGCACAAGATAGGCATCGCTCAAAGAAATTCGATGCATGGTATAAGAACATGTCATCCATCATGAAATAGTTGTCATGTATAACATGATGGGGACACAAATTGAGCATGCAATTATATGGCACGTCATTCATGGGAAGCATATCAATATCATCACAAGAAAAGCGAATACCAATAACCATGAGCTTGTCATCTATGCCAAATGTGCAAATTGGGTTTATTTTAATGGCATATGCATAGTCACTACGATGAGATTGCAAATATGACATACAGGTGATCTCATGCATAACATATGACAAGTCAAGCGGATTGTCAAACATGATGTGGCCGAGAGAATTATCAAGAAATCCTATGAAACACGGCATCACAACTAAC